TCTGCTTGGTCTCATCTGCTGTATTTACAGACGTTCATTGTTGAATCCGTTCTGCACTCTGTCAACGCTCGTGAACCAAACCGAATTGATGCCCATGCTGGCTACTACGGGTAGGTAAGCAGTACTTCACGAAGTTCTCTTACCTTATCACTACTTGCATACTCCCTATAGCGTCTTCCCTCGGTCTCCCTGGCTACTACGGGTAGGTAAGCAGTACTTCACGAAGTTCTCTTACTTATCACTACTTCAAATTACTATCACAAGTTCTGTAGCCCTTGGCTCTCCGTGGGCAGAAATTAGCTCATTAGCCCCTTGGTGGAGTCCTATCCGTTTCCGCGCAAGAGCCAGATATGTTTGTAGGACTTACGTCAGCACGGGCAATTCACCTATGAACGTACTTTGTATCAGTACATGTGATTTCAGACAAGCGACCTGCTACATAGCATATATGCTGGCCTGTTTCATCACACCATCGCTACTACCGCTACTTTCGGCGAAATGGTCACTTCTTTCTCGGCTCACTATGTTGGACTATCTATCATGCGGGATTTCTCTACCTCAACAACTATTTTTATTACTTTTCATGTGCACTGATGGGAATCGGATTTGCATGTGAGGATCACTAACAGTTACTGTACCACGCAGCACTAGTTTGGGCGGAGTCAGGCTCATTACTGTGCCACGCAGCATCCTTCTCCTCGTCTTTAATGGCATAACATGACTAGGTAGTGGAACAACTAGGCAAGTTCTGATACAAGAGCTCACAGTTTTTCACAAGGTGGCCTACACAGACTACCTTGTAACTCTTGTATTTCTCTGGGTTGCTCTCCGAAAACTTGATACCCACACCAAGCCGACGCGTCCGGCAGATTGCATGAAACTAATGGCGAGCCACGACTTCAAAAAAATTCTTCTTCAGTTAGCCAATTGGATATACTTATTTCAGTCTTCTACACTGGCTACACGGCTTATCTCACATCGCACTCCACCAGAGGTACTATTGAACAAAATTCAGCGATCACTTGGTCCATAGGCAACCTATGGTATGTATCCTCTCATAGAAAACACTCCAGCCACAGAAAAGTTCAGTTCACTCGTTTCAGCCTTCTCTTCGGCGGAGCTGTGCTGTTAATCGTTTCTGTCTTGAATGACTCCAAACTAGAACTTGTCAATGGAAACTCAACAGAAGTCCACGAGTCCGTGAATTCGCGTCAATTCAATGACAGCGACATATTTTGGATGTATACCAGCTTTGCTGCGGTAACAGTGTGCTCAAATGTAATATTCTTCCTCATCCCGGCCCGAGATATAGATGGCTGTATTGAAGGAGGCCGTCCGCAGTCGACTTTACCGTTCCGAAAGGAAATGCGTGAGTTTTTCATAAGGTCCCCACTGAGAATTAGCTCACCATCAGCTAGGCTAGGCCACGGTGATTTCGCGTTAGCGTCCTCCTTGCAAAAAGTCTTCAGGGCATATCCTACCGTTGTAAAGTACGACCGCTTCAGGTTCCCTCTTCTGGTACAACTTCCTCCACACCATCCGCCCTCCTATCTCCTTGAGATTTCCTGCATTCTTCCAACTTTCTACTACGTTTCCGGATGTAGTTCTTCCCAAAAGTCTTCTCTTTTTCCCTAAAAAGTTGTCGTCGAGCGTGTGGAAGCTGGGCATATCATTAGGTGGGGATTTTGGTCGGAGCGGTACGACCCAGCGGTAATCCCTTTTTTGAGGAGTGCCACACCCCCCCCTTTCGTATAACTTCGTCCTTATTCACCCTTTCTCAGAACTCAACTCCTTGCCAGTTAAGGTTTTCCAGTATTTCCTGGGAATTTTCCTACTCCTACTCAAAATTTTGCTGTGACGAGGGCAGGAAGAGGGGTAAACACCACCTGAAACATGGAAAGCAACTATCAGAAAATTTCTCTTATCCATATTACAACCCTCCCCCCCTTCTCGGCCACCAAATACGACGCGCTCTGTTGAGGAACCCTCGACGACGATGTTCCCTGGGTGGAAGCAGGGCATCATTGGTTGGGGATTTTAGCCAAGTCTGTACGACCCCCCTTTTCTTGAGCTTTGGTACGACTCCGGCCCTCTGCCCCACCCCATCGAATAGAGCCATCGAGCGGGAGGGGGTCGGGGGGGGGGGCGCACTAAAACAAAAAATCACAAAAAGTCAATCACTGCTGCTATAATGTCAAAGCGTAAATACGACCTCGCCCCTCTCACAATGATCCAATAGACCGGCCCCCCGTTCAAACGTCCGTGAAGCGAGAAAAAACAACTATCAAAATAAATCTTTCCCAGCCCAAATACGACCCCCCATTGGGGATCCCCCAACAAAGATGTGCTCTGTGTGGAAGCAAGTATGAGGGGGGGGTAATACGGTATAGCCACTTGTACAGGGAAATTCCGGAAAAGTTAACAGGCAAAAACACCTTTCCGAAAAGGCAAATAGGGCCATCTCCCTCCAGCGGCTAAAATACGACTGTTAGCTGGGAGCCTCAAAGTGCATCGTGCTCTGGTTTCTATAAGACTACAAGCTTGGCCACTTGACAGTTTGTACTTTTCGCCATGGACGTGCCACGAAATTTGACAGCAGACAGTTGACCTAGTCTCGTCCAAGCCAACATTGCACTGAGGCTTTGTACTCAGGACGTCTGAAAAAATTGACTTGAGGCGCTAGCGCAGTAGGGGAGGGACATCTGTGACGGTGTTGAGCCATGCCCATTTTATGTTGGTCATCGCTCTCTCAAAAGGTGTTCGGTGAAACTTGATTGATGTCAGTAAAACTCAATTGAGCCACAGGGACGTGCTCTAGCCTTCCCACTGTTCCTCCCCCACCCCCTCCCCCACACACTGGAATTACAGTACGTGGGGAAATCGCAGAAATAATAAAGGAAGAAAATACTGTGTCCTGCTCCATATGACTGAATTGTATAACCCATAAGCCAACCTTTTTTTCAGAAAGGATGTTCACATCTTTTACTGAGGTGAACATGTTGCTTTTAATGCCGCTATTCGTCCACATTGGAATAATTACCGCCTTCTGGTTGGCTGTCTATCCAACTACATTCCTATTTACGAAATCTCTTGCCGTCTACAAGTACCTACCGGCCTACTATAGCGCCTGTGCCGGTTTGGGAGAAATCGCAAGTAAGTGTTCTTCATTACCCAAGTTCTATACGTTCTACAGACTACAGCGACGCCGGATGCTCAAAAAAATGCTGAAACTGGGCCAGTAGTGATCATCTGCAGCCCTAGCCACAAATATGGCGTCGTCTTTGTCGATGGCACCACTTAGCGCTAATAGGCTCTGATAGGTTTCAATTTGACGCCATCAGTTTTTTCACCGAAATCCATAAAAACGCGTAATACGGCTGGGCGTAGTTCGGCTCATGGGGGGGGGGGCACCAAATGATGATTTACCAAGCTTTTGTGATCACCCTGTGAGGACCCGTAAACCATGTTACCGAAGAGGCTCACTCGTATCACCTGGCAGTTTAACAAAATTTTACAGGTTCACCAAAGTAAGACTTGTTATCTAACATGAATTAACAAACGGAACAAGCAAAAGTGCGAAATGCCTCCTCCAAGTCGAGCAGCGCCGAAGACTGTTTGATGTCCTGAACGCAAAGGTTAAGTTCTTTCTGTCGCTGGCGCCATTTGGCGCTAGCAGGCTCCAGTAGGCGTCAATTTGGTGCCCCCAATATTTCACCGAAATCGATGAAAACTTGCGTAGTATGCTTATGTCCTGATAACGGATATGGCATTCATTTTCCGACACTGGCGCCATTTGGCGTCCTGCTAACAGGGTACAGCATCGTGATGGGTGAAAATGGTAGTGTAGGGGCGACCCCCCTCCGAGAAAGGATGTCAGTACGAACCTCCCCCCACTGAGTGACGATCTCGGTACGCGCTGAGTAGGAGATGCTACGACCCCCCCCCCCCTTTCCCAACACCTACCTACCAATTTCCCACATTTTCCAGTCCAGTTTTTCACCCAAAAATTTCCGTCAAGCGGGGGAGGGGGGGTACATACCAATGTGAAACGGGAAGATTTTTCGAGTTGTCCCCAACTTCCTACCAATTTTTCCGGAGTTTACCGAAAATTTCTCACTTTTCTCCGAACGATGGAGGGGGGTAAGGGGGGGCGCAGAGGGGATATACAGCGGGGGGGGGGCAAAAAAATCACTTTGCTTCATTGACTTTCGAGGCGCTATAAGTTACACTTTATAAACTCTGATCGGACATTTCTACCACCATATTAAAGAGCATATTAAATACTATTATGACACTCCGCGCCACAGCCTTCTGGAGGAGCGCCATCGAGAGATTCTGGCACGCAACCGCGATGTGGTGCCTGAGATCAGCGAGATAGTCGATTTCTCCGCCACCGTAGACCACCCTATTGAACTCCGCCCGAACCGGGTAATTGAGGGGATTCAGGTCAGGTGACCTACTTAGATATTCCATCTTCTTTAGGTACTCAGCCCCCATCCAGGTAGGCGAGAGTTTCTCCAACGCCCTTCGATTCCACGTGGTGGCACCCAATGCTGTAGCAGTACAAAGTTTCCAAGAAGGTACGGGGGACGACATGTGGGGAAGATATTCTTCTTGAGTTGGTCGATGTAACCGCCAGCGCTCAGCTTCAGTCCGGGGGTCCACGAAGAAAATTATCGGTGCTTTGCGCATTCCAGGTGCGGTCCGGTCCCATAACCATCAACCGATCCGCGCCTTGGCAACTGCTGTGAAGTTTCTAATTAGAATGAGTATTAGAATATTTCAATTAATTCAACTATTAGCATGAAATTTCTAAGGAGAGACAGTTGTCGAAGGTGCTAGATTTTTTTTTAATTTTCAACACGACTGAAAAATCCACAAAAACTTTCCTCTCAACCGAAGCCAAATTTTTCAATTGAAAAAAAACGGCCATTACTTATCGGCCAACCTAATAGAAAACAGAGGAAGATGCACTTTGGGCTCCAAGCCTAACAGTCGTATTATAGGCCGTGGAGAGAAATGTCTATTACTTTGAGATGTGTGTTTGCCTGTTGGCCTTTTCCGAATTTTCCTGTTTCAAGTGTGCTATATGTATTACCCCCTAATCTGTCCTAGACCGTAGCGACGTTGTCGGAGCTGCTCGATGTTGGAGGTCTTCCAGATTGAGAGTACTGGTCTCCAGGTACCCATGGGTGACTCCACACTAGAAGTTTCGCAGCTGTTTGGAGGTGACATGAATTCCAAAGGTCTTCTCCAGTCAGGCTGCGCTGAGATGACCTCATATTTTGGTGTACATGAAGGTGATGGGCGAGGGCCAGCTCCTGCTTATCGAGGAACATCTTGGGTATCTTCCGCCCTGGTACTCGTATCCACGTCTTCTCTCTGGGCTGCGAAAACTTTGCTGATATGTGACTCGGTCGAAGTGACTTTTTTTTGGCCCCCTGTATGTACATATGATGCAGGAAATTTACGCAAAAACGTCAACTACCGGAAATAATTTTTTCCAACGCAACAAATTTCCTCTTGACACGGCACCAATCGACTCGCCCCCCCATCTATTTCGCAACGAACCAAACACGATCCTTCCTCCCGCACGGAAAAACATGACCCTTCCTCCCCAACGGAGAAGTACCACCCTCCCCCCCCCCCCTTATGCGTTTCACACAGCGATGCTGCCTGCTCATTCTGAGTCTGGGAGGTGGAGGGGAGTGATTCCCAAAGCAAAGCTCAACCGTGATAGAGCGCAGATTATTAGAGTAACGCTGACGCCGAGAGTGAATGTCGTAATCATAATCAGGGTGCTAAATGACCCCGGCACACAAGTTCATACAGTTTTTGGTGGAAAAGATAGTAGCGCCAAATTAGCACCTATTAGTGCCAAATGGCGTCAGCACTAGAAATGGTTATCACATCCTTGAACAAAACTCCCGACTCCCCCTTACAACAAGTCTGCAGCGAATTTGCTGAAAAAGGTGGTGGCGTCAAATGGCCTTCGGCCAGAAATGACATAATCACATCCGTGTGCAGAGCATCGAATTACCTCTATAGGCGAACTTCCCGCTTAGACTTTTCTTCTGAGTTTTTGGAGTCGCGTTACAGGTAGTACTGATTGTTGAGGTTTTAATAGGGAAAAAATCGAAGGTGGTCTGTCCCTCCTCTGTCCCTCCGGCTAAGCTCATAAAATGGAGGACTACGCAAATGTAAATCCCTCAGGAACACCTGTCACGTTCCTATTATGACCAACTTTTATGAGTCGTTCCAATCTGGAAAGACATAAATTTCTGCATTAACGCAAGCTTGATTTATTGTTGCGAGAAACTGCTAGTTTCCAAACAAGAAAGCGGCGATCGTACAGCTAGAATGCCTAATAAGGGTCGTTGATCAACCTTTTCGAGATACGCCGTGCACTTCGCTGTCATTGGGAATTCTCAGGGAAATGAAACATTTGGGCTTGTCCAAATCACAGTACCATTGCTCTCTTTCATACGAAAGGCGTTGCTGGTATTTATTAGAATCGGTTAAACAGAACGGTTAAATGTTCATGAAGCGCGTCCCAGTCATCAAATGGGATATCCGTGACCCACAAAACAGTGATCCGGTCAAAAAGCACGGGAACGTAGTTGCAGGCTTGCGATACTCGAGTGCCGCTACCGGACACTGCCCGCGCTGCCGCAGGGACAGCAACAATAATATTAGGTTGTCCGGAAAGTTCTCAGCGTTTTGTGTTACTATTTTTTGTACATTCATTGCTGATTAAAACTCATTCTCCCTTGCGTCTCAGTAGTACATCCTGAAGAGAATTTTTCGCGCTATCTGATGGTATAATTGCCCACTGCGTGATAAACCTCCTTTTTTTGAAGCATGTCAAAAGAGCAACTTCGGACGATATTTTTCTTCAACTACAAATTGGGTCAATCCGCAGTCGAGACAGCTCGACAAATTAACCAGGGGGCCCAATAGTGTTGGAGAAAGCACCGTGCGACAATGGTTCGACAAATTTCGTTCTGGAGATTTCAGCCTTGAAGATGAACCTCGTAGCGGTCGACCTAAAGCAATACCTGACGAGGATTTGAAGGCGTTCTTGTGAGGCGACCATCCCAAACAGTTCGCAGAGATTGCAGAAAAGGCTAAGGCGTTGGCAAAATCCACTGTGACCGTATTGGTCTAACGCAGTGGAAGTCCGTGAAAAAAACATCGGACAAGTGATGTGCCCGCACAATTGCAGAAGCCGCCAGCAATATGACACGTAATCAAGTTCTTCTCATCTGTGCCGCAACAGAACCCTCCCGTTTGGCACCGTATTTGGTCACCTGTTGATAAAATTGGATCATGTTTCATGTTATTGAGTTTAACAGTGAGACATGTCCTGCCCGACCAGTGCTTGCGATCCGACGAACCACCGCAGGCCAATTTTCAAACCCCTACCCTAACTGCAAAAATGTATTCTCATCAGTGTGTGTGGTCACGGGCTGGTACCTATAAACCTTGTCACCTCACTGGTCACAACTGCGCCCGATTAGCATCGAGTTCCTCGAGCGGGCGCCAGTAACGTCTCCATTCGTCCCTGCAACGTGCAAGAGTTGCCCAATGAACTCTCTCAGCTCGAGGGACACGATGAACTTCATACCGTTCGTTCAGAGCTTTCACGAAGAAAGTTCGAAACCAGTCCATAGCGGCTCCAGGCGTTCGCTTGACATCCCGTGGAATCCAGTCGGTGACTGCTCTGGTCCAGCGGTCGTCCTCGAAACGCATGACGTGTCCGGCCCACCTGATCTTCGAAACCTTGGCAAATGCGGCGGCGTCTCTGATCTTCGATCGTTGGGCGGAGTGCGGAGCTCCGGATTCCCTCTCTCACTTGCGTGTAGCGGGAAACTCCGAGCATCGCCCTTTCGATGGCGCGTTGAATAACGCCGACCGCATGCTCATCCTGCTTTCGTAGAGTCCAAGTCTCTGAGGCGTACGTCAAGGCAGGAAGACCGCGGAATCGCAACGTGGGCACGGAGCTTGACGTTCTTCGTCTTCTTCGCTACTCCCTCGATGTTCTTGAAGGCTCCCCAAGCCGCTCGCTTCCTCCTGCTCAGCTCTGGAGCTAGGTCATTCATCATATTGATTTCACGACCTAGGTACACATAGCTAGAGCATTCAGAGATGGTCGTTCCGTTGAGCGTGAATGGGGCATCAGATACCAATCCGCTTCTCTATGAACAATCGCTGCGTTAGGCTCACTCGTAGACCGCATCGTTCACACCGCAGTCGAATTCTCATCAGGCCAACCATAACAGCAGCATCCTACTGTGTCAAAAAAATTCACAAACTGTACCGAAAATGCGTTCAGCCTCCAGCCGAAGTACTGTGCAATCAGTAAAGGTTCCCGAACTTGCAAACAAACGCCTGCCCACATCGTCCACAAACACTACCAGAAATTGAGACGAAATGGGTGTTGAAGTTCTCACCCACCGCCAGGATTTCTTGCAGACCCTTGCACCAACCCGACTATCACCTTTTCAAACATTCAAACTTCCTGCTTGAAAATACTTCACCAATCAGGATCAAGGCAGATAAAGCCTCGTGATTCTCGATCCACCCCATTTATTTCTTTGATTGGATTTATCGACGGATTCACATTCAGCAAAAATGTGCGTAAACGTTCGCTGAAATGTATCGAAACCCGGCTGCTATATTTCCGATCAAATCCGGATAAGCATTAGAAAGTTATACGTTGAAGTAAAACACTCAAAAAACGCTGAAAACTCCCCCCGGACAACCTAGTATATACCATACCTAACCCTACTACTTGTCTTCCGCGCTCTCCTTGCTTCAACTTTTTCTCTGCTGTGGTGGCGTGTTCTCTCGGCATCGTAGTCACTGAACACAAGTTCTGTGCCCTTCTAAAGGAATTTTGAGTATAGCGGCAGAAGCGGACTCGAAGAGCCATCCGGCCTTGGCGACGGTGGGGGGGGGGTGGGCATTTTGTACTATCATTCCTTTCCCCCGCTTTAACGGTTTACAAGTCTCACTCTGGTGATACCTGTGAACTCTTGTGAAGCTAGAGCAAGGTCGTCAAGCCATCACGGTAAAACCTGTCAACTCGAGGAGAGGTTATGTAGATAGCGCTCACAGGTTTCGCAGCCGGAAGTAGCATAAAGGCAAAATTTGCCCTCCCCATCCCCCCGTCGTCGAACTGCGCCGAGCATCCAGGTGTCGCTATCCTACAGTCCTGCTTTCGTGCACTTTTGAGGGGATAAATTCGAGGGCATTCGCTCTTTATCGTCTAGACTCTCGTTCGCGCGCTCAATTTTTCTTGATTGCACGCTCACATATAGCTCTGAATCAACTGCAAAAACAACCAGTCCTTGGCATTTTCAAAGGGTTGTTTTCCTATATTCTTCTTTGATAAGCCCACCCCCTCCCCGCACCTACAGCGTCACAATTAAATTTCCCCATCTTCAATTTTACTTTCACTGAATATCGCGTATGAAGAGGTTCTGGCACTGAAAAAATAAATACTCTACCGGACCTTGAAAATTAAAGTCGCACAGGTTCAAAAATAGCGTTCAAGATGAAAAATCCACAGTACACAACAGAGGAATTATAGTGAACAATCTGGAAGAAAAACTAGGATTAATCGAAAGGAATGCAGGCAACTGGGATGTCTGTTTTTTTCGTGTTGATGGTGCGCTATCGATGAAAACAATCTAATTTGTCAACAACTGTGAACATATGGCACTGGGCTCTGTTTTTAGCCCTGTCCTGAGCGACAACTGCTTAGTAAAACTGCACCATAATAGGAAAATCATCCTAAGAGAGGTGCTAGCGCGGGAACCCAAGCCAACTTTCAGAGGGTGAGTTTAGTAATGTTTCATCGTATGACTCCCATAGCAATTGATGTTTTAGGTTTTCTTAGTTAAATTGCCACTGTGCACTGTATGAAAACTAAATTTTCTGAAAGTTGCTCATGTGGGTTTTTTTACTGGAAAGGAGCACAGGGCACATCATTAGTTGGGGATTTTGCTTGAGTCCGTACGACCCCTGCCCTTTTTCAGGGGGTTGGTACGACCCCCCCCCAGTTCTTTCTTCTGAACAAACTTTCGAGCGGGGGTGGGGACCGCGAGGAAAATGCGACCCCTCCCCCTTCCCCATAATGCCGAACACTTACTTGGATTTTCCTCAACTGGCCCACCACTTTTTTCGGAAGTTCCCGAAAGTTTTCCTACTTTTACCCAGAAATTCTGCTGTCGAGCAGAGGGAGGGAAAGGGGGACGGGGGTGAATAGTACACTTGAAATAGGAGAAACCACAAAAAGTCAACCAACCACCCTGAAAATGCCAAAAGCCAATACGGCCCCTCCCCCTTCACAACGGCCCTGAAACAAGAAAAATCAACTATCGCAAAAAATTTTCTCAGCCCAAGTACGCCTCCCCTCTCCCGGCGGCCCAAAATACGCCCCTTCCTTGTTGGAGAATCCCCAACAACGATATACCCTGGAGAAGCAACCATCGTAGAATTTTGTGTGCTAATGTAGCTCCGCCTTTTCTCTGCTCGTCTGCACCCTCCCATTGAGATGGTGCTCAGTGAAATTTAGTTGAGGTTGCTGATAACGCAGACGAACCAGTTTTAGGTCGGAGTAGCCGTGTCCAAAGTGGTAGCCGTGGGCAAAATTCACAGATAGAACAAATATCGAAGAACCTGTCCTCACCGGTAGGCTAAATCGTCGAACACACAGTAGCGCGATTGGCTATGGTTAGGCGTGCGACTGTCGGTGCGGAAGCGCACGCGGATTCTAGGAATGCCGCCCGGGTATCATAGCTTCGGTGGCTTTGGAACGGAGAAAGTGGCATGCCACTGCAGCTGCGGACCCATTCTTTACGTGGCGAAACGAGCATCTGCAAATGTAAACCTACGAGGCCTTCGCTGGTCGGTTTATCCCGAAACTTGCATGAGAAACGTTTTTCACATGCACACAAATTGCTAAAACGTCTACTTATATGGCCTAAGACTGCTACCCTTGGATTGTTGCATTCTTCGCTCGGGAGACGGGCAAGAGAATCGTAAATTGCCGCTTCGTCGCGCGCGGCAATGGGCGCGACGTTTCCTTAATTTGCACTACCCTTTCGATTGGAGCATCGGATTTCATGTAGACAAGGACATGGTAGACACTTATGTCTATTTTTGGTCATACATCGTCACCTGAAATCGTCGTCAGCAGGCGCGACGTCGCACGCGACACCCATTAGTGCGGCGAATTACGGCTTCTTTGCCACATACACCCTTCACTCATACTATTACTTTTTTCGATCAATCTCAGAACTGACGATTTCAGTGGGTGTACTGATCACAGCCGGATCACGAGTTGTCAAGGACTTTGGGATGCTGCCAACGCTAGGCATCTCCTCGTTCGTAACCTTCGCCGTCCTTGGTACTTTGGCCGCTTCCGTACCCGAATGGTCAACAGTCAGACCGACTAATGACCCATCATGGTTTATTCCACCAAGGTGAAGCTTCTCTCACACTATGTCTGTAAGATATACCATTCACTTCAAGTTCACTTTTCAAACGCAATTACCACTTTTCAAACGGCAAATTACCACTTCAAATCAAATATTCACTCGACCTTTAGACCGGACAAAATCCAACCAACCAGATCCACGAAATTTATGCCGGGACAGCACACTCGCGAGCACCCGGCCGACGGCCCAATTGCCTACTTCTCAAGCGCAGACCAGAGATTTTCTACATATCGAACATGGCCGACTCTTGCCCATTGTCTACAGAGAGTTTAGTTGCAAAAACTCACGAAATTCACAATTAATATTAACATACTTTCAATTTCACGATCACTTTTTGCATCAATTAAGATACTCGTACCCTTGCAGCATGCACTGTGCAAATACTGCCGGCCCGCTAGCCTTATGCCGCTCACTTGCTTTTTGCTAGAATTTTGATTTTTTTTCAAGATTTTTGCATTATTGCGGTCTCTACGTGTGAAGCCCCGCCGCATTGTGGAGAGCTCCGCCCACTTTGAGGATACTCCGCCAACATCTTACAAAAAAAAGGGAGCAAATCGGCAGTATAGAGTCCTTTGGCTCGATGCTAGCGTGTCGATCCGTCACTCTGATAAACCTTTGCCTGATTTTGTGATTCTGGTTCCATCTTTATTACAAACGAATTCAGCAAAGCCTGTTCTGAGTGACGACGACTTGCCCTACGCATGCAAAGCCAAAAACTTCTATACTGCCAATATGCAACTCACTCTGAAAAAAGGGCGAAGATTCTTCGAAGGGGGCGGAGCCTCTCACCATGGGCGGGGTTTCACGTAGCAGCTCAAAAATGCAAAAATTGTGAAAAGATATCAAAATTTCACAAAAACAAGTGGGCGTGCCAAGGGGGGGGGCGATGCTTAAACTTCCAGTGCATGAAGCCGCGGGTAACGAGTATCTTTCGTTGTGCAAAGAGTGGATCGCGAGAATAAAAGTTATAAAATTTCGAAGAAGTTGCAGCAAACTCTTTGAAGAATGGGCGGAGTCGGCCATGTCGATGTGTTGAAAATCTATGTCCGCGCTGACAAGTAGGCGTGACCGTCGGGGCAGGGCTCGCAGTGGTGTCTGGCGTGATCTGGTTGGTGAACTGCCCGGTCTAAAAAGAGTGGTGAATTTGATTTGAAAAGTGGTGAATTTGGTTTGAAAAGTGGTGAATTTAAAGTGAAAATGGTATATATGTACATGTGTATTTTTTAGTTTCTCCTTAACCCTCGTGGCAGCGTTTATCTTTGGAATGATAGATTCGGGGACCAATACGGTTCGGAACGTCGCCTGTGCTCTCGCCATGCCGAATGCTCGTGCTCAAGCTTTTGCTATCTCTAAGATTTTTCAGGTGATTGATTGCGTTCAGTGCTTAGAACGATAACACTGTACTCGTTGTGAGCGTAGCGCAGCAGAGCTATTATTCTTGATGACCTAACTTAAAGAGAGTACAGAAGTGTCGTCGTGCGCGTCATTTCAACCCAAGAGAATTTAGGCTTTGGCTGGTGCTGTGTCGATGGTGCTCAGTTCTCGTCTGTCAATCTACGATCACGTCCAACTTCTCATCGTCACCACACTCGTCTCCCTTGTCGCTTTATGTGTCGTTCAGCGAAGAATCCAAACTAAAGTGAACTGTGATCAGGCAAAATAATCTCGTGGTTGTATTTACTATATAAATTATAAAGTTATTTCCCTGTATTGCAGTTACTTCTGATGTAATTGGCCCCTATTCATATAGGTGTACTATTCTTGATAGTGTAAATTGTTGAAATCAGTAACAGCTAATCAGCGAAGGGGAAGGGGACAGAGGTGGTTGAGCTTGGAGGCTCGGTCCGCGATCAGGTATGGAAGTTGAAAATATGGCGTCGGGAGGGTAGTGTGGTCCGCGAACGACCTTGTACCGGTTTCGCAGCAAAATTGTAAGGGAGGGGCGCTATAGCGCAATATAGGTTCAGCGACGCCTCCTTTTCTCCAGTGACTCCGCGCCTCCTTTTCTCCAGTGACTCCGCCTCTAGACTCCGCCTTCACGGATCGCCTTTCAACGAAAAACGAAGATTCAGGACGAAAAATCATGGAAATCGTCACTCGTGCGGTCGTTTTGTTCCTATCGACAAATTAGCTGTGCGGACGAGGGCTGATGTTGGAGATGGAGGCATTAGGTCATTAGGCACGTATAAAGTAGTATCGAAATGGGGTTTTTCAGAGCCATGGCGTGTCTTTTTTCCAGTTTTTTTTTCTGCAGTATCGAGTTGCTCAGCTTCTTGTCGTCTATATGCGAACCCCCAATCCACTATCTGTGATGGCGAATGATCGCAAGCTCTGTCTTCAAGCGGCACATCTTGCCTTCTTCTGTCTTGTCACTTTTTTCGAAGCTAAAGAGCATTAGAGTTGTGTTTCTGGTCCCAAAAGCTCGAAAGCTACGAGATCTGGGCAGCCATGAACCGCCTTCAACCGAGCAATGTGTCTTTCCTAAACGTCTCTCACTCAACCGCTCCTATTCCATGGCACGCTCTGCCGTTGGGAAACTTTTGCAGAATGTAATCCCATTCCCAAAATTTCCTCCTCCGGTACTATCCCTTTTTCAGTTCCCATCCTACCAACCTACCTCCCACCACATTTCCGGGGATATTCTCCAGGACGTTACCCGAAAACTACCATACATGCTGGTAGTGCGTGTAGAGCGCAGAAACAGGAAAACCGAGAGAATTCGGCAATCGAAATCATTTTTCTCGATGGTTTCTACGACTCCCTTCGCTGGGAATCCCTAGTATACTCCGTGCCTAGTACCCTGCGCACCCAGCAGAAGATTTGAATCTGGCAACTCAAAGAAGCTCGCCGCGCGACATTTCTTGTCTGATTACTCACTTTGCCATAAAAGTTTACCAGTAATGAAGAGTTGTCACAACTTGGGTTTCCCTACCCGCAGCTCAAAGGCACATGGCACGATAAATCCCCAAGACGAGTAGGATCAATAATACGCCTGGCAGGACGGAATTCCGCGCCCCTGAGCAGGCGCTGCGTAGCGCCTTTCCCAAGGAAGGTACCCTTATGAGGCCCTTATCAAGCTGCAACATATCAACCCGTACGCCCATCGCATCCGCCCGCCCACAAATGGACGACCGTACTGATCGCTTCACTTCGTTTTTTCGTTAT